AGGCCGGAACGGAGCTCCCGGGCGCCCGCGACGTGGAGGACCCGGAGCCGCCGGTGGCTGACCCTGAGGCCCCCTAGGCTAGCAGGACCCGCCCAGTCCTGACCTTCCCCCCGGACGGTCCAAAAATAAAGGCGATCGTTTCCGACCGAGCTCACGTTCTCCGTGGAGTTTGTGCCTCTCCGCGGGGCGGGGCGGGGCGGGGCGGGGCCGGGCCTCGGGCGGACCCCGCCCACCAGCGAGCCCCGGGCGCCGGACCCAGGCTGGGAAAATGCTCCCGAGCTCAGACCGAGTAAGCGGGTGTCAGGACCCGCCCCACGGCCTCATCTCGAGTTCCCAAACCATCTATGTTGTCAACAGGGCCTAGAGGGCGCGTGTTAACCCATGCGGGTTCTGGGGGCCTGTGCATCTCCGGTGATCTCTGGAAACTCGCGCTGGCTCTGAGACCTGGCCGCCCACCTGAGCTCCCCTCACATATTGGGTTCTAGCCAAGGCTGCCTCTCCACCCTTCTCAAACACTCCAAACACTGTCCCCTCGGGGCTTTTGCCCTGCTGGTCCTCGTCTGGGGTCGCAGCCCCTAGGCCTCCTCAGGGCATCTGTACTGACCTCACCTGTTAAATGTGTCCACCACTCCGGAGCCCAGCCTTGGGAACCCCACTCCAAAGGCGCTCGACACCAGGCTGCTGCCCTTGACTGAGCAAGTATTGACTAAGCAGGCATTTGCCAATTGCCTGCTGGGTGCCAGGCACTGTTGTAAACCCTGGATTTTAAACAGCGCAGTCAGCGAAGGCCTCACCTAGAAAGTGGTATCTGAGCGGAGAAGCAGGGGAGTGAGCCCTGTGGGCGTCTGGGGAACGGTGTGCCTGGCAGAAGACATGCCTGATGCCAAGGCCGTGAGGTGAGGCTGCACTTCGCTGTGTTTGAGGAGCCTTCTGGAGGAGGCTGGCGTGGGAGTGGAATGAGGTAGACCAGGAGGGGAGACAACACTGGAGAGTTGCCAGGGACCAGTCAAGTTGGGTCCTATCTAATGTGTGTAGAAGAGGACCTGGCGCGCAGTGAATAGTCAGTGAATGTCAACTCTCACATAGGGTTGTGATGATTCACTATTCCTGATCCCTAGAGAACGGGACCTGAGACGTGTGACTTATTTAGATCAGAGGCTTCTCTCTATTTAGTGAAGAGCAAGTGGTTCATATGATTTATTATTATTGTTCCCAGGCTAAAGATGAGGAACACCAAGGTGTGTGTATCTCTCAGAACAAATTTTTTTATGCAATAAATGCCCAATAAATCGTATCTTTTATTATTCTCACTACTATTCTTGTTGTCATTCCCAATTTAGAGATGAGGAAAACTGAGACAGTGAATCTGTACAGTCAGCCCTCAATAAATGTTGGGTTGCTCTTATTATCCCAGGTCCACAGATTCGGTCCAAGGAGCTTTAGTCCCTGAGTCACCACTCACACTCCAGGCCCAGGCAGTGATCCCCCGCCTCACTGACATCACCTGCTTGCTAAGGCCGGTCTCCAGTAATCTCCAAGGAACCTCAGCATCTTCTTCTGTCATCCTCTCTGTATTCACACAAATGGGGTCAGCCTGGATCTTCTGCTGACTTAACACTGGGCACCTAGGATTCAAGTCCTGGTTTCCCTGTTCATTGGCGGGATGACCTCAGGCAAATTGCTTAATGTCTCTAAAACTCAATGACCAAATTTGGAAAATGGTGCTGCCCTCTGTAGAGAACTTACTATAAACCTGGCTAACCCCTCACTCCCCGGGACATGTCCTTTGGGTCCCTGGACAAACTAAATAGTATATAGAGATGACTGGTACACGGAGTCATCTCATGCCATTCAGATGATAAATCCATTTACCCACTTCCCTTCATAATGTCGCGGAAGTCAGTAAATGCTGGATGCAAGGTTATTCATGACCTGGTTCACACCTTTCTTTCCTTTCTCATCTGACTCTGCCTCTGTCCACTCCTACTTAGAAGCCTGGTAAACACCAAACTGCCGCTGCCCCCATGATGTTACTTTTGTTAATACCATTTCCTCTGGTTGGAACACCTTTCTCAGTGTGCTTTGTCTCAGTAAATATTACTTGCATGAAATCTAGAGCTGGGATAAGACATGCAGAGTATTCCCACAGATATGTTCATACCATATTACCAGTGATGTGTCTCTTCACTTGTATTTACTGAAGGGTGTCATGTATTAACCTTCATTATCTTAGGAATGTAGTGGTTACGTCTTATCCATGATCTTGCAGCTGGTGCCTGGGACAGCCTATAGGCCACCCTAGGCGAGTCCTACCCCATGCTACAGTGGATACATTCAAAATGGCCAATTTGGGAACAATTTGAGGGTTATTAAGTAATAACGAGGGAGGCAGAGGACTTACCTAGGTGGGAGAAACTAAAAAGACCACAGCCTCTACATTGAATCACAAAACTCCGTGAAGATACTCATAAAAATAAAAGGAAAAGGAACAAACTCTTAATTTTTTTTTACAGCCAAGTAACAGCCAATCAGTGAGAAAGGGAAGAAAGAATTTAAAGGTCACCATTTTGTAATCCACAGCGAAGCAATTGGTTCATGAGTCAATGAGTGGTTGGTGGTTGCTAACATCACTGGGGGAAAAGCTGTGAGGAGCAGGATAATCACTCGTTCTCAAAGTTTTATCCTGCGATGTCTTTATTAACTCTGAAGGGGGAGGTGCCTTACGGTGGGGAGGTTGGGGAGCTACCACCTGATCCATGGGCCAAGTTCAGCATCACCAGTAGAACAGTCTGACCTTATGTTCCTCTTGACGGCAGGTACACGTCATCACCCGTGTGGGGTTTTTGATGAAAATATTTAATGAGAGGAAAGAGACATAGTGAAAAGTTCTGTAAGACAATGGTCTTGGACACCTGAAAAGATTCAGAGTCATGAAAAATAAAGGAGACTGGTGTATTAGTCTTCAATTGCTGCTGTAACAAGTTCATACAAATTTCATGGCTGAGCAATACCAATGTATTACCTTACAGTTCTGTAGGTCAAAAGTCTCACTAGACTAAAATCAAGGTGTCATTTGGGCTGCAATTCTGCATGGTCTGGGGGAAAATCATTCTTTAGTTTTGTTCAGGCTTTCTGGGATCCTTGACTCATTAATCTCTGCTTCCATGGGCACATCTCCTGTGACTCTGACTCTCCTGCATCCCTTTTGAAAGGAACCTTGTGATTACATTAGGCCCACCTGGATAATCCAAGATAATCTCTTCATCTCGCGATCCTTAACTAAATCATATCTGCAATGTCCCCGTAGTCGTGTAAGGTCACACCTTCACAGATTCTTTGGAGAAGGATACAGACATCTTTGGAGGTCTGTTATTCTGCCAACCACAGTGTGGGACTACTGTTCTTGATCAGGAGAGACCAAAAAAAAAATTTTTTTTTTTTTTGAGACGGAGTCTTGCTATGTCATCAGGCTGCAGTGCAGTGGCATGATTTCTTCTCATTGCAACCTCCGCCTCCTGAGTTCAAGCAGTTCCACTGCCTCAGCATCCCAAGTAGCTGGGACTACTGGCGCATGCCACAATGTCCGGCTACTTTTTTGTATTTTTTAGTAGAGATGGGGTTTCCTATGTTGGCCAGAGTGCTCTCCATCTCCTGACCTTGTGATCTGGCCACCTCGCCCTCCCAAAGTGCTGGGATTACAGGCATGAGCCACCGTGCCCCGGCCCTGAACCCCCTGCCCCGCCAGATTTTTAATACAATTCATGAACCTTTATTAGAACTTGGAACAAGGGTAGGGGAAACAGCTATAAATAACATTTAAGGGTTTGGGGGGAAATTTAAGAATGGACTGAGATTTGGATGATGTTATTGGATTAGTATTTGAATGAGAGCAGTGATGCGGTTGATTGGAGAATGTTCTTGATTTTAGGAGATGAGTGTGGAAATAAGTTTCATGTCTGCCACCTATTTTTGGATGGTTTGACAGGGGAAATTGTGCGTGTGTATATACAGAGAGAGGGAAGGATAACGGATGTGGTCAGATGTTAACAGTTGGTGAATCCAGGTGTTATTTGTATGGTTCTTTTTGATAGATTAGAAAAATTTTTAAAAGATTTAGAAACCAATAACAATACTAAGTGATCAATTGACGCTTATTTTCCATAGTCCCCTCCTATCTGCTAGACCTCCCAGTGAGAAGTCTCTGAAATCGCAGACGTTGTATTTTATATGAGTACACAGAATTGGATTTGAAAATCTGTCCTCATACCGCAAGCAGTGAACACCTCTTCATTCAAAAATTCTTTTTCCACAACTGAATTTGCTGTTTCATAATGATCTTAGATCCCAGCCCAACTCTGCCTTCTTCCCGGGATTTCTTCACTGGTGCTTAGTTCCTTGAAAGTGAGAAAAAGTGCATCTTAGGCTCTTAAGGGCTCTTCCTCTCCCCAGTTGCTGTTGTTTGCTGGGAGATGTTTTCACTCTCTTTTTGGCCAGGGATTTCAGGAATTATAAAGGAGAATGAAGCCTTCCTGGTCTGGAGGTGCTGCCATAGAGAAGCAACTCTGCCCTTAGACTGGTGGCCTTTGCTGCCCTAGAGCAAATCTGTGTTCCTTGGGTTTTGATTTGCCCTGTGTTCTCCTGACTCAACTGACCCTCCTGGCAGGGCTACTTCTTTCATTGAAATAATTTACCGCTGTCTGGGTTGTCTTCACTCACTTCCTCCAAAAGCACTTCTCTCCCCACCTACGTCCTCTCTCCATAGGGCTTGCATTCATTTCCCATAATTCTCAAGCTTCTTAGCTTGTAGTTCAGGTTCAAATGTGAATGAGCCTGGCGGAGCTCAGTGTTGCCAAAAGGCTAAAGGACATTCTTGAAATAAGTAAGCTAGAAAGAAATCCATTGAAAAACAGGAGAGGAGCCAGAGGAGGGGCCCAAGGAGATAGAAACGCACAACCTGAGCAGCAAGCTAGACAAGGCATGGAAGAGAGAAAGGGACTTTAGTAGAATGTCCTGGAGGATAATGATGTTAATATCTCCCACCAAGCAGGCAATAGAGCACACTAGTTAGCAGAGCAGA